ATTAATCTACTTCTGAAGATCTGAGCATGTATTTCCTGAGATGTCGATCATGTTGACTTCCTGAAGCTTAATTATACACTTTTTGGCTATTCTCTTGATGGGAAAGAGGTCGTTAGTAAAAAAAAAAATACTTTTCAAAAGACTACAAAAAAAATCACATTATGGCATCTATAATTCTACCAGGTACTCATCTCCTTAATTTCAGCAGGATTCTGTCAAAATAAACATTAAAATAAATGTGGAAATGGGAGGGGCTGATTGAGGAAGGAATAACCACCAGTAACAAAGTGAGCATCCTCTTACCTTCATATTCTCTTAGCCCATGATGGCATAATGGCCCATTGGCTTATTTAACCAAGTATGTATTTCTCTACTGAAGTGACATTTTTCATTGCAGAAACAACATTAGTATTATAATCATGCCCTCTGTACATCATAGCCTTCTATTAAAGTACATGCACCATAAGCTTCCTTTATTTGGGTCAAATTTAGCCATGCCACAAGCATTCCATATCCTGGCATGCAGAAATCATATGCTCCCAAGCAGAATATGAAGGTGTCAACTTGGACAAGGAACTTCCTGCCCTTTATACCTGCTCTGTAAGGTGAAAAGTTGAATAGCCTTTTTAGATCTCTAATTAACACTCTTTGAGCATTACCTTGTTTATCTCTCTTTTGCCTTTCTTCTTTTCTATCCACTGCCTTTATTTTATGCCGAATCCACTATCCTTTTGCAAGCATTTTGAGGTGCTTCCAAAGGTAGATTTAGGTAAATAGAGCCTAAATTTCCAATTCTTCACTAGATCCCCTCAAAATAAAAAACGTTCAGTTTCATATCTAATTTCATATTTAAATGTGATATACCGAAAAGGGTATGTGAAATGTTAATTTGCCCAGAGGTGAGACTTAGAGGGACAAAAAACAAATAGAAATAAGGGTATCAATAAAGAGAAAGGTCTGAGAAAAGAAGTAGAAGGAAAACAAGGCAGGCATTCAATGCTTGAAAATTCCCCCAGTGAGCATCAAGATGGCTTACGCTACTGAGTCCCATTGAAAGAATAGCCATGATCTGTTCATGGCATAGCTCTTGCTGCTGTCAGAAGAGCAACTTGTATTCAAAGACAATGAAAGTACTAATTAATTGTGAACTGCATCATAGTGGAACACTGTATAGAGGACACTATCATACGATGATCAAAAGGATTGTTTACACAATGATAGAAAACGTCCGGAAAACAAATGAACTTTTGTTCCAATAAACTTTGTGAAGCTCTTCATATCAGGTATCAGCCAGGATAGCTACAGAGACAGAAAAGACAAGACATGAAGCTTGTCCCCTTGGTACACTTAGACAATCACAAATATATTGATAAATCCAATGTAAAAATATTCCCAGAGAACTTTGAGATGACAAAAAGAGAGAGCTAATTCCTATCAGGAATCTCAAGAAAAAAGGGAAGACAAATTATGAACTCAGTTTTAAAGACAAACATAGTCTTCACATAATAGTTTTTACCTCACAGGGAATGTTGAAAACATTGGCCAACATCATGTGTCCACACAATCTTCCTGGGAACAACCTCTGATTTATTCATATCACTTAGGGTTCCAGTCTCTGTTGTGTCATAGAATCACATGCACTGATTCATTCTTGACAGATGCTAGACATACCCAACTTTCATGAAATGAATTGCCCCATTTTATTTCCAGGCCTTACATGTTGATAGGCTTTGTCATGGCTTACTTGTTGGTTTTGTGTGTGTCCTGCTACTAGGTCTTGATGCTTTTTTACTCAAGGCTAGCAAACTACCATTTGAGTCACACCTCCCCTTGCAGCTTTTTTTAGTGGTTATTTGGAGATGAGTCTCCTGGATTTCTGCCTGGTCAGGCTTCAAACCATGATCTCTAGATCTCAGACTTCTGAGTAGCTAGGATTACAGGCGTGAGTAATGAGTTTACTTAACTCCTCATTGTCTGTACAGAACCAAAAGCAAAATGCTTGGACATTAAAGTAGGAACCATTAGGGAGAAATGGCACCTGGAAATATACTAATGGACATTCCTTGGTGTTCAGATATTTCTGGCTTTAAATATCTTTATTCAAATGAGCAGTCTGAATATCTTTTTCTAAGCAATTCCCCTCTTACAGCAGTGGAATAGAAAGTGACTCATCTATCAGTACCTCAAAAAATTGTAAGCTGCACATGGAAGAAGAATCTTCATTTTAAGCATCCAATGTGAGGGAATAACATCATCATGAAAAACATAGGAACTCAGAATAGCCTTGTTTGGCACAGCGTATACACCTTCCTTCACTTGTATCCCCAAAGGGCTAGAAATATTTCTGCATTTTTCTAAGGTATTCAGTTGCAGCAAGTACTGCAAGAGCTTTTCAAGTTTGTTTCCCATTATATCTGGCCAAATACTTGGAGAACCTTACCTTGCATTATGCATGACCCTCTGATTCCAAGTAAGTTTTGGAAACAAGAGTTTGCTCCTGCCACCTTAGCTTTTAGTCTCTTTGACAGATTGCAACAGGGAAGTGGGGTTTGTTTTTGCAATGGAGAAGGATTTTCGATCATGGTAAAATCTGGAGTTTATACAAATTATAATGGTGCCCTCCTACCTCACTCAGCACGGAATTTGCAAAAGAGAAAAAATAAAGATCCAGTACCACTTCAATGTCACTCTGTGGCAAAGAGAATCCACCAAAGTGGCAGGTCAGGAATCTAGCTGCCCTCTGCTGAAATTACGCTCAACTTTAAATTCAGCTCTTGGAAGAAAATTGAAATATGGAAATTTAGTTTTTGAGCTTGGGTCGATCAGAGATCAACACTTCAACTGCAGTAATAGAAACTCAAAGCAGGTTAAAAACCAAGAGGTTTAATGACACTCAATTGTGAAATTGAGGTCTCATTCCTTCCTCTTTCAAGGTTTATAAAGATCATTTGTAGGTCTTTATTGCTCATTCTGCCCCTCCTCACTCAGGCTTAGGAAACTATCTTTTGGTTTTAAAGACTACACAGCTAGAAATCCCTGAACAAGGTACAATAATCAGTTACACTATGCAGAGGGCAGTTGTTCCAAGATAAATATCAAAATAGAAGCTTAATGATTCTTACAGTTACCACCTGTTAGAACACTCCTGTGATGTGGAGAGCACATATGAACAACTCATTAACAGTTGTCATTTATTGGCATCAGTCCATGTGTCAGACAGGCTCATGGATTATCTTGCTCAATCCTCATAGCAGTAGGAGACACTGACACCTTTCTGGATGAAGAAACAGGCTTAAGGAAAGTTTCAAACATGCCTAAAAATCACCTCACTCCTCAGTAGTGGCAAATCAAGACCTTCACTCAAGTCTTTCTGCTCCTCATCTTATGTCATCCCTCATACTAGCACTCACATTTAATAACAAGGTGATAAATCTCTGGCTTTTCATTAACACCATGGTGCTTGAGGGATAATTGGTGGCAATAATAATAATAATATATTCTTTGTTATCATAACATGTTATATATCTATCCTTTCTTTTTTATTATATTCTTATTACCTTTATGTGGTTATACAAGTCAACATGTCAGGTTTTAAGTACAATGTATCTTGATCTATAGCATTTTTTTCATTTTTCATCTTCATCCCTCCCAGTTCTACCCATCCTTTCAATTTTCCTACTTTTGTAAGGTATTAAGACTGCATTCTCCCCTCCTTCCTCTCTTCGTTTGTTTACTCCTCCCCTAGAACTCATATACATAGCATCCTCAAATACCACCTTCCTGGTACTCATTTTGTTACAGAGTAAGTTAGTTTTTCAAAAGAATTATGCCATTGAATCTTCCCCTGAATATAGCCTGCTTTCATGGATATGTTTACAGCCAGTATATACAATCATGTATACATTTACATGTATATTTGTAAATTAGATCTGACTTCCACTGAGTAGTTTCTAAGGACCCATTCATATAATCTTCACAACTACTCAAAGAAGTAGGAAACTTCTCCAGCACCACTGAGGGCATAAGCAACTTCTCCAAGGTCACACAGATGGTGGGAACTTAAGAGTTGGATCTATGCTTCAAATTCAGACAGCTGGCTCCTGAGCCTTTCCTCTTAACCATAGTGCTATGCAATAGTGCTTGACTAGGAGTTTAAATCTGAATACAGACTAAATTCACATCTACATTTACACCAATTCAGGGCACATCCTGAAATGGCTCAACTACCTTAGCACAACTTATGAATTAAAGTGAAAGCTAAAAAAAAAATCGATGAAGTTCGTGATCAATATGAACAACCTAATGTATTCTTGAATTATTCTGCTCAATTAAGTTTCTATTACAGAGTTTAATCCACATATTTGACAAGTAAAACAGGAATAAAAATGATGGTTATGTGAAATTAATCAACATGCCAAATGACTTTCGACAGCTAACTCATGCACCTCCAAATATATTTTTAAAAATCTATTCCTGCAAATGTTTTGTCTGTGCGCATAGGTACACAATGATATTTGGTATTCTGTGCCCAGAATATAAATCTAATTTAATATCTGTTCAGAACCACATAAAATGTTAATTAACCTTGTTGGCAAGGGCAAAATATTCAATGTTCAAGGATTTGGTGTGTACCAGATTGTTGAAGGTAAATATTAACTATTGAATTCTCGACTCCGATGCACCCAGGCAAGAAAGAATGAAAGCAAAATGGCAATGCATGCATGTATAGAGAACAAATACATAAATGCATTTATATAATGTGCAGAATGCATTTATATAATGTGCAGAAGTACCAACTAAAACTATATTACTTAATGTATGAATGTATAAATATACATGAATATAGACATTTTACTGTTAAAACTTTTTCTAGTGCTAATTTCCTAATGACCTGAATGTTATCAAGTGTTAAGTTGTTGAGAGTTTTAAGTTAAAGACATTGTACACTAATAAATAGCTAACAGATTTTTTTTTCTTTTTTTCTTTTTTTTTCTCTGCAGGTATTCCCAGTATTTCCAGTATTGGTAGTAAGTAAAAAAAAAAAAATTAAATAAGACAAAAATCAACAAACCAAGTCTAAACTAGCTTTGCATTGTAGTTCAGTTCTTCAGATCTGTTTTTCCAGTATCCATTTCTGATGTAAGAGACCATTTCCTTGGTGAACTGAATTTTTGTCTTGGTTTCCTGCACAGCTCTGTGAGAGAGAACAGTGAATATAGTTGTTTATACACAGCTCTCCACTATATATGTACTGCCTCATCTTTCCTCGCTGCTTGTATTGAGTAGCACTTACTTAGGTAAAAATTGCTCATTTAAAGAAAAAAAAGTCCTAGATACTCATACTTCAACAACAAACAACTCTCTCTCTAGAACGAGATATAAATTCCTAACATAACAGAGAGGCGCAGAGAATGGCTACCAGTGAAATCTCGTGGGCAGATTTTGAGGGAAAAGAAAAGAAGGAAAAAGAGAAGTCATATGATATCACTTTCCTAAATTACAGTGGTCATGTATTTTTTTTTGAGCACTTAAGTTCCAGGTTTGGTTGAAAAGGGGCTTCCAAAACACGTGAAGAATTTTAGTATCAGAAGACCAGAAATCCCTGCAAGAAATCTCTTAGGGGAAATCAGAGCAGTCAAGGAGAATTGTCTCTTCAGTTCTGTAGGTAAAACCTTCTGCAATATCATTTCAAAGAATATTCTCTGGCCACCACAAAAAGCCAGACTCTAGTTCCTCTTCCTTTGATATTCTAACCCCAAGCCTGAAATACTCATTGAAATTCGCATATTTTTTTAACACTGCACCCTTAAGCTCCAATGGCTAAGACCGTGGAACCATTACTGAATAGCTGAAGAGACAGAAAGTAGAGAGGAGTTCTCCATGATGCATTGTTTGAGTCATCCCTTTGGCCTGGTCTTTCTAGGGCTTGTGCCACAGGACTGTGCCAGGAAGGTGATTGTAGCATATATACCAGCAGCTGTAGTATTACCATTCTGAACACCCTTCTAAACAATAATATTCTGATAATTTGGAGGGAGGGGAACTTCCCGCTTCTTATAAATGCGCAGTCAGGTCTTCCAGTTTATAAACCAGCCCAGTTTATTTAATCTTGTGAAGAAGTTTGGGCACTGATTTGTTAGGCACTAGACACGTCAAATGCCATGCAAATCGGGCCACTTTGTGAATTGAAGTAGTGTTCCTATCTATTTAGACTCTGGCATCCTCTTTGTGGGGCTCCAACCTTACAAATGAAAACTTTCAGCTTTAATAGTCTCATTTTTCTGTTTGGTTACTTCCCTTGGCATTTGTCTCATTGTCTCTGTACCCCCACTAAAGGGCTCTTTTCAGGCCTTAACAATTGTATTTTAGAGCAGAAAGGAAACGAAATAGAACCAAAGCTAGAAGGACTATTGAGGCGGCTGTCCTAACCTGGCCCGTCTAAAGTTTCAGAAATGGATGGATGGAAAAGTAGGTCTTTGGTGCTGGGCTGTGTTGTTTCTGTGTTGAGTGCCAGTTGTGTGTTGCATGAATCCCCTGACTGACTGTACTACTCACGCTGTACCTCATCCTCCGCCTTCACCGCATCCTCCATCTCTGAGCATCAGCAGATGTTGACCTTTCACACACCCAATCCGGGAAAATCCCAATTTTTGTCTTGCTTGGGTTTGATTTTGAAATCAGTGGTGACCTGAAAGGATGCTTTTGTTGTGCCTTTGGGAAATGTGTTAACCTCTATTATCAGGAACCTAAGGAAATTTAACTCCTGATACCCATGACCAAAACCTTGTGACTAAAAATGATAGCTTGTAGTTTGCATTCAGTATGCCTCTGGCTGATCTGCTGGGAGCGTGAGGGGTGTTTTCTCAGATTTCAGCAAGTAGGACGTAAGAGCGTCTAGGGGTCACCCCACATCACACATGACTAGCTTGCCTGTTGCCTAGCTTTTAAGGTAAATGGATTTGCGATTAAACCATCAGACACAATTGTATCTTCTAGGCTGCTTTAATGATATCCACAAGTTCCTTCTTTGTGGGCTTATAAGGTGCTTGTTGTATGCACTGGTAGATTCCTTTCCTCTCCAAAGGTCAAAAATTCACACAGAGATGATTTCACTGCCTGTCCACCAGGATGCAGGAAGGGAGGAGTTTTCCAAGATGCCCAGTCAGGGAAAAGGAAGATGCATGAATTTTTTTAACCAAATGTTGAACTGGTGTTTACCAGAGATTTTCATTTTTTCCCCCAAAGAAGGAATCACTAAATGCAATTCCACCAGCTATTACAATGTACCACACCAATGAGACTCTCATCCTCAGAATGAATGGCAAGGAAAACAAATGATGCATATTATTGATGTATGTAACCATAAGCTTACATGCATACATCATATACACTTGTCTAAATGTTCTAGCCTTATAGATCTCAAATTGTCAAGGCCCATATTAATGTTCAAATGCATGGACAGAATGGACATCCTTTCTGATCATCTCCTAAACAGATTTCCTATTAAGGTCATTTTGTACTTGCTGTTGTCTCTCTATTAGGAAGTAAGTTTCCCAAACATCCCAAGAGTACGTGATTTAAATCTCAGGTCATTTTGATGTGCTTTGACCATGGCTGAAAAGATTTCTGGTGATATTGTCAGCAATTAATGATTCCCAAAATGGATCTCTAGTCCTTTGAGCCTTACCATTTCTGAATTTACATTACCTAAAATGACAACAATTCATTCCGTTTTCACTTTTTTATAGTGTTCATATACTTCACAGGTTAATTTGAAGTGATCAGTTGTTGATGCTATTAATCCAAATTAATAGTGATATGTTTGTTGATGTTTTTGTTATGGTGATAAACTAATCATTACCTTCTAACATATACCATCTGATTACAAGTCCTACAAAGCAAATCATTTCACTAATTATGCCAAACAATATATTACAAATAGCATAATTAGATCACCAAGAATTGAGAACTGCCCCAATACAAAATAGCTTCATGAAGGTGATGATCACTTCTTGCCAAAGCACATGACAGATATGTGAGAGGTTTTAGGTAGAACATCAACACAATAAAAGGTCACATCAAGAAAGATGGCTTTTAAAAACTAGGAATATTTAAACAAACCATATGCCTGAGAATATCAATAAAAGAAGAGCAAGAGGTAAACTTTTGTGAACTGGTGAAAGCTTATTCTTAAATAACTATCAAATGACTGACATGATTACATACAAAGTATAGACTATTGATGAGCTGTTTGTCTATTCCTTCTCCCCTCCATTCACTAATTAATTCAATTTAAAAGAACAATTCACTTAAGGGAAAAGATCTCATTTTCCTGTTTTCTCTTATAATGAGCATTACCTTTATCATAAACTTAAACATTCATCTCTAATTTGATTTAATTGGCAGGACTATTAAACAAGGGAAGTGCTACCTGCAGGGATCCATCAGCCTGTTGAGAAAGACCAGAAATGTTTTCATACTTGAAAACATTTGATGCCAGTTGGAGTCCTTGTAAAAATTGTTTTCCATACAATATCCAAATATTTTAATGCGGTATCAATATATTGTAGCAACCTAGATGGTAGGGGAAACAAGATTAATCATTTTCTCACCCAAGGGTTATTAATAATCATGTTCATGCTATCTAGAGAGTTACAGTGTGTGTTTGCTTTCCCCTCTTTTGCTTTAATACTTCTAAACCCTCCAAATAAAAGTTTCATTTGAATTGCCCTTTAACTAATTAGGTTTTATATAAAATGAGGGAGGGGGGCATGATCAGGCTAGTGTGGTGATATGGCAAGCAAATTGCATGGTGTGCTGCATTAATTTGGAACTGTTTGCTGATGTTCTAGACTGAAAGCTCACATCCCAGGTGAAACGCCTTTGGGACCATGAGATCATGTACCCAGTATCCTCATCCCAAATCCATTTCATATTTGTGTAACTAGCATTTCACATCCATGATACCTTTGTGGTTATCCTAAAATTGAATGAACATTAGGACATAGCTGCCTCATTCATCCTGAAGAAGAAATCAGATATTCCAGTACAGGAAGGGAGAAGACTTAATAAACAAAGGTCTGAGAGGTTTACCAATTTTTATTGACAACAATTTTCCCATCTTAAGCAAATTGACCTTTCCATGGATTAACCTTTTTCCTAGACAAATTTAGAATGTCAAGCCACTTTTTTAAGTGTGAGCTGATATTTCTACCTTTGCTAGTTGTCCATGTGGGATGGGAACACTTTTAGTGGGAACAAGAATTTGCCAAGATTTCCAAAACATACTATAATGAAACTTCAAACATGTTAATTGTGAATTCCTGCACTGTTGTAGTCACATAATGGACACATCATTTGAAGTTTTTTTTGGAATAGCAATGGAGAGATCACCAATTAACTGCTCCACTACTTGGGAAAAGTTAGGCCAAACTATTTTCTTAGAATTATGAAGTGGTAGTCCCTTGTACCTACAGAACAGTCGATCTGAGACTTATCAAGTATAATATGATGTGGTCAGAAATAATAACCTGACTTCAAAGGCTACACATAACATTATTCCAAGTGGAAAAACTTAGACAAGATCCTAGATTTGTTGACACCTACACCATGTCTGAACCATCCACTACACTGTAATCTTAAAAAATATGATGGTCTCTGAATTAATCCATTTCTTTCTAAGAAACTATGAAGTCATGGAGAAAAAAATAGGCATTCATTTTGTGGTACTTTACTGTGTTAACAGAACTCAAAAGTATGTTGTGTAGCTACAGAAGATAAGTGATTATCCTTCCCTCATTAAAATATGTCCATCCTCTATCAGTACATCTTTAATGTACTGAGGAAGAGGGGAAACATATAAATTTTGGATATAATATAGATCATGAAGTAGCCCATGAAATTAGCTATGCAAATTGTGAAGACTGCTTATATATACTGTTAGAAACCAGGAGGAGAAGGTTACCTCCAAGGCTCTAGGGATTTCTCCTGTACTACTTCAGGGTTCTCTCTAGATTCCTCTCTAGAT